CTTTTGGGCAAAGCCCAGAAGACTTTTGGGCCAAGTCTAGAGGACTTTTGGGCCAATTCCAGAGAACTTTTGGGCCGAATCATGAGAACTTTTTAAACAAGTCCAGAGGTCTTTTGGACCATGTCTAGAGGACTTTTGGGCCAAGTTCAGAGAACTTTTGAACCAAGTCCAGAGGAATTTTGCGCCAAGTCAAGAGACATTTTGCGCAAAGTCCAGAGGATTCACCAAAAATGTCAGGAGACTTCTGGGAAAAGTGCAGAGATCTTCTGGACCATGTTCAGAGAACTTCTGTGTAAAGTTCAGAGGACATCTAAAAAAACACAGAGAACTTCTTGGAAAAATCCAGGACTTCTGTGATAAGTCCAGTTGAGAGGGCTTCTGCACCAAGCCTAGACAACTTCTGCACTAAGTCTAAAGGAATTTTGGGCGAAGTCTAGTGAATATTTAAACTAAGTTCAGAAGAATTTTGGGCCAAACCCAGAAGACTTTCAGGCCTAGTCCAGAGGTCTTTTGGGCCAAGTTCAGAGGTATTTTGGGCCAACTCCAGAGGGCTTTTAGACCAAGTACAGAGGATTTTTGGGCCAAATCCAGAGAACTGTTGTGCCAAGTCCAGAGGACGTTTGGACCTAGTGCAGTGGTCTTTTGGGTTAAGCCTTGAGGACTTTTGAGTCAAGTAAAGAGGACTTTTGGGCAAAGTCCAGAGGACTTTTGGGCCAAGTCTAGAGGAATTTTGGGCCATGTCAAGAGGATTTTTGGACCAAATCATGAGAACTTGTCAAGCAAGTCCAGAGGTCTTTTGGACCATGTCTAGAGGACTTTTTGGCCAAGTTCAGAGAACTTTTGAACCAAGTCCAGAGGACTTTCGCGCCTAGTCAAGAGACATTTTGAGCCAAGTCCAGAGGATTCACCAAAAATGTCAGGAGATTTCTGGGAAAAGTGCAGAGGTCTTCTGGACCAAGTTCAGAGAACTTCTGTGTAAAGTTCAGAGGACATCTAAAAAAACACAGAGAACTTCTTGGAAAAAATCCAGGACTTCTGTTAGAGAGCTTCTGCACCAAGCCTAGACAACTTCTGCACTAAGTCCAAAGGAATTTTGGGCCAAGTCTAGTGAATATTTGGACAAAGTCCAGAAAAATTTTGGGCCAAACCCAGAAGACTTTCGGGCCTAGTGCAGAGGTCTTTTGGGCCAACTCCAGAGGGCTTTTAGACCAAGTACAGAGGATTTTTGGGCCAAGTCCAGAGGACTGTTGCGCCAAGTCCAGAGGACTGTTGCGCCAAGTCCAGAGGACGTTTGGACCAAGTCCAAAGGACGTTTGGGCCAAGTGCAGAGGTCTTTTGGGTCAAGTCTTAAGGACTTTTGAATCAAGTAAAGAGGATTTTTGGGTAAAGCCCAGAAGACTTTTGGGCCAAGTCCAGAAGAATTCTGGGCCAAGTACAGAGGACTTTTGGACCAAGTCCAGAGGACGTTTGGGGCAAGTGCAGAGGTCATTTGTGCCAAGTCCTGAGGACTTTTGAGCCAAGTCCAGAGGTCTTGAACACCAAGTTCAAAAGATTTCTGGGTCAAGTGCAAAAGACTTCTGGGCCATGTTCAGAGGTCATCTGGGCTATGTCCACAAAACTTTTGATTTAAGTTCAGAGTTCGCCAAAATTGTCAGGAGACTACTGGGAAAAGTCCAGAGGTCTTCTGGGCCAAGTCCAGAGGACTTCTGTGTAAAGTTCAGAAGACTTCTGGAAAAAAACCCAGAATGCTTCTGGGCCAAGTCCACAGCTCTTGGGCCAAGTTTAGAGGACTTTTGGGCCAAGTTCAGCTGAATGTAAGGCCAAGTTCAGAAGACTTCTGGGCCAGGTTCAGAGGATATTTGGGCCACGTTTAGAAGGCTTTTAGGCAAAGTGCAAAATACTTTTAGGTGGAATCCAGAGGTCTGCTGCGCCAAGTTCAGAGGACTAGAGGACTTTGCCATGTCGAGAGGTCTTCTGACCCTAGTCCAGAAGACTTTTGGGCTAAGCCCAGAGTCTAGTTTCCACAATAACTGCTTTCTAACAATATTTCCGCAGAAAGTTCCCCGAATTTGAGATTGGAGGACGCCAACATTCATCAGAAATCTTAAAGCTTGCCGTTGGTAACAGAAAACCATTGTATATCATAGACTACATAATATACATTGAAGAAATTTGAAGGTCATAAGCGCTGTTGTTTAGGAAAATACTCACTTTCATCCGTTGTGGTAAGATAAAAATTTGGGATTAGTCTCTACATCTTAGATAAAGGAATTGAGCAGTTTGACGCCAAATGACGAATTGGTAAAATTTGACCTGCTACGATTGGTGTGAAACTTTGAATAATTATTTGTTATGGACAATCATTCGCATTTTTGCTAAAATTCAGCTATTTAAGGAGGTCACTTTCTGCAGTGAATATAGATTTCAAAAATGGTTTTCTCTGAGCCTTCACCTCAGATTGCAAGAAGCTCTCGTGGCTGTTTTCCTTTTTTTTTCGCACAAAACGACGAGAGTGTTTTTTTTTTCAATCTGAAGTGATGTTTTAGAGAAAACCTTACCCCGCATGATTTTTTTTCCATTGCACAGTGGTCCAGAATGCAGATTTAGGTGGAATGATATGTTTTGAGCCTGAAATTGAAACTTGAGACTGGAAGTCTCTTCTACAAAGTTGTTCCTTAAAGTTAGGTCTTATTTTTTATGACAATGAATTCTAGGGAGGTTCTTATTATCATTAAAATCAAAAATCTAACTTTTTTGTTTGAATAATAAGGTATACATTCTTCAGCAAAGTTATAGCTGAGCTAATTTTAAGCAACATTGCTGAAAACAACTTGTTTTATCCCTTGAATTGGCTGATTTAGAGCTATTTTCTTGAATTGAGTTAGGGTGGCTTTATAAAAAAAACAGTTATTTTGCTCTAGTTTTCTTATTTCAAAGGTGTTGAAAAACAAAGGTGTTCCTGGAAAAATAATTTTTTAGCGCTAGTTTTATTATTTGAAATTTCTCATGAAAGTCATCTTCTAGAGACTTTTAAAACTTTTTAAGGCGACTTTGCCGAAGAATGTATACCTTAATTTATTCAAACAAAAAAGTTAGATTTTTGATTTTAAAGATAATAAGAACCACCCTAGAATTCATTGTCATAAAAATTAGGACCTAACTATAAGTAACAACTTTGTAGAAGAGACTTTTAGTCTAAAGTTTCAAGGCTCAAAACATATCATTCCACCTAAATCTGCATTCTGGACCACTGTGCATTGTTTGATCTTTTCTGGGTTTATATTAAATCATAATCAATTGAAACGTAAATTTTCTGAAAATCAATGTAACTATGGAAAGTACTCAGATGAACAATATTCACCAAATTTTACGAGGACATTTAATAAAGTTTTGGATAAATTTTACTTCAAGCTAGGGTGACCGTCTTACTCCGTCATCCCCTACATATTTTTATGACTCAAATATTTTCTAAATTTTTCCACCAAATTTTCTCAACTGGGTCCCGATGGGTAGTGAACAAAGGTTTTATAACCACTTTAATTTCAAAATTTAGCCGATCCAATTCTGAGAAAATCCATCATGAGGTTATGTGAACATTTAATTGAGCGATTTATGAACAAAGGAAGATTTATTCATTGCCTCTCAAATGACAAAGGGAGACCGAAAATTTGACGTAAAATGACAAAGATTTGAATAAAATGCATTTGCGTATTTTGTTTTGTAAGTGACCCCAAACTTATGGTCGGGAGTGTAATTAGTTTTGCTTTCCCTTCTCGGCAAAAAAGTCGTTTGCTAATAGTACAATGATTCGTTGAATTTCTGCAAGCAAACCTTCCAGCAACAGAAACAACGTTTGATGCTGGCATTTGACGAACCATTTTCTGAAACTCAGTCACATTTTCTGAGATCTCAACATAACTTATTTACCAGGAGGCCATAAATAAATCACTTTGGAAGCTCTCAGAAGATCCCCATTGATGATAGCAAATTTCATCTGAGATTCTCCAAAAGTGCTTATCTAGAACCTTCTCTTAAAAGTTACCTGAAATTCTTATTGAAAATGTCTATGACTCGCAATTCGATGTTTCCTGATGCTTGTAAAAAATTCACAGAACTTCTTTTTAAATAGTTTGAAGAAGTTCTCAGAATATTCCATTGAAAGTTTCCAGAACATTTTGTTTGAAGTTATGGGAACTTTCTTGATTTTACAGATGAAAGCTCTTAGAGTGATTTGTCTAAAGTTCACATAAATTACCAATGGTAGATTCCAAAACTTCTGGATTCAAAATCGCAGAGCTTCGGAAATCTTCCGGGGCGCAGCTTTAGGAAATTTTCGTATGAAATTACCAGAGCTTCTTTGTTGGGCGCTTCTGAACGTTTCCATAACTTCTCGACAATATTGTCATGAATTTTCAAACAAACAAAAAAGACAACACTCTTCAATCTTCAAAATCGCTTCCCCAATCACTGCAACATCCGCAACAGCATCGTCAACTCCCCAATCCACTCATTCTCGCAACCAAACGCCGAGAGTGAGCTCCCCGCAGAACAATCTCCGATCCAGCAGCGTGCGAGTGAACACGCGGTCCTTTCGAAAAATTTCGCGCGGCTGCGAATCGAAAACAGACGCCGGCTTCCAACAGTCCCATCACCGTATTTCTAGGCCGCATGCCATGGTGTAAACAAACACTCTCGCTCTCCCACCCACCACCACCACCACCCCCGTCGACGGCGGACGCACTCAAAACAAACGACCACGCGGTCGTCCGCCGACTCCCTGCTCACCACGGTGGAGCTCATTTCACAAAGCCGGTATGACATTTGTTTTGCAACATTTATGGGAAAAGGGGGTTCTCAATCTCGCGCCCGCTCTCACTCTCAGCAGTCAGTGGGAAGAAACATGTTGCGCAGCATGTTGGGGTTGTGGAACTCTTGCTGCCATCATGGGGAGAGCGCTCAACGGCAGGATCCCCAACCGATCGACATCCCGTTCAGTCTACAGTGTGTCCTCGGTACGGTCGCATCGAATTTGCTGTCTCCGTCTGTAGAGCGCTGCGTTTGGTCTTCTAGGTTTGTTGGTGATGATTTTTTGATTCGTTGTCGGTAGCGACGTCGTGCGAGTTCCTTCCTAGGAGGTGGTGCTTCAGTTCATGGTCAATTTTTTTTTCGGTTATGGAGGGTGTGAAGGGGTCGAGGGAGTAGTGAAGATGAAGTGTGTGATTTAGATCGAGTGCATTGATATCCCTATTGAGGGGTGCGAAGCGTGAAAGTGAAAGTTAAACTGCCACCCGCCCTCCTCATAATAGTGGACCCGGCTCATGGTGTGGTGAAGTGTGGATGTTTATTCTTGATGGATCCGGAATGGACGACGAAGACGGCATTCAGTTCTCCCTGGGGGCGGTGGATTGTTGTCGTTTTTTATGATTTTTGATGTGATGGTTGAAGGAGCCAGTGGCAGTAGAAGCGGCCTTTGTAGGATCAGAATGCTTTCCGGAAAATGGAATTGTGTTCACTTTGATGCCCTCGGATTTCAATCTTTACACTTCGAGTTTTGTTTGCGGAAATTGTTTGTAAAAACTTCTCACTGGGCCGGTAAAGTGTTTGTGTGTGTGTGAGTATGTGTGCCTGTTCTGATGGATCGGAGTAGAGCAGAAAAGTGGGATTTGGACCTGAGATTGGTATGTCAGAAGTGGAGGGGTGGGAAAGATTCAAGTGCTTTGATTTTTGTTTGAGTAGCCGGACAAAATTGTTTCCTGAGTTTTTTTGCATTACTGTTCACAGTTTGGTAGACAGATTTGATTAAGGTTAAACAAATAGTAACCGAATACAATAGTTGAGCAGACATCCTGAAAAAGTTTAAACATATGATTTATGCTGTGCTTATTTTAGGGATCTTTCAGCACAGTTATAATTTTGAAACAAAATCTGTAAACATCGTACTTATTTGTGCATTTCAATGGTTTCTCCCATTCCATAACATTCAAGAAGTGGTCGTTCTGATTTGCAATGATTATAATTTTTCGTGCAGCCCAAACAATTTCATTTTTGTAGACGACGTTTTGAATCTTGAGAATAGTGTTTCTACTGTCCTAGGATAATTCAGTCAAGATTCCTATAGTTCGGTTAATAGGGACCGCACAATAGGAACCGAAATTAACGAATACACGTAGCATATGGGATTAGAGCTAATTGGGGACAAACACTTATTGAAGGGTACTTTGAAGAGATTACTTCTTGATGTCTTGTGAAAAGTTATTAACACGATAGATGACCTCCTTTTGCATCCAGAAAGTCAGAAGGCTGGTCCTCCGGAAGACCCGGAACATCCATAAAAGTGTTCAATTCATGAAACTGATCCTAGCTCTCTTCTGATTTTTCGAAATCACTCACAGACGGCTCATCAGAATAAAATGGGAGTTGTGACCGGAAAATGGACTCTAAAGCCCACGAGATGGTTCACCAGGAAGATCCAGAACATCCATAAAATTGTTCAGTTATTGAAACTGAAGAGGTCCGCTTTTTTCGAAACCACTCATTGGGGTCTTATCAGAATGAATTTGGAGTTATGACCAGAAAATTGACCCTGGCGTATTTAGGAAGACACAAATATTAGCGCCCAAACCATCACGTTTAGGTATATGGTGTCTTGTGCAAAGTTTCTTCGTATTTTTTGGTCAATATTTTTATGTTAGTGGTCCATAGAAATTGATAAAATGAAAATACAAATATTTTTTTTTTTGATGTGAGATAACCCAATGCATTGTTTAAAAAAGTTATAGAACAATCGATTTGACACTTTCCCCAAGACACTATGAACCTAAAACTGACGGTTTGTGTGCAAACATTTTTGTCTTCCTAAATACGGCTACATCCGAAACATCCGTAAAAGAGGTCAATTCATGAAATTGATCCTAGAACTCAGTATTTTTTTCAAAAACTCTCTATGAATTCGGAGCTATGATCGGAAGATAGATTCTGGAGACCATGAATGCTCCTCTGCAAGATCATATACGCTTCTTTGGAAGATAAAAGACGTCTCATCAGAATGAACTTGGATTTGTGACTGGAAAACGGACCCCAGGGTCCATTGGATGGTCCTCCAGAATATCCAGAACAACCGTTAAACTGAATAGTTGAAGAAACCTGATCTCTGTTTTTTAAAGAACTGGTCATAAATAGTTTTTCTATTTATTATCGTGAATGATTTCTAGGTTAAATTTAAGTATTTAATAACTTCTAGGCGCTTTCAACGGATTTTTTGAATACTTTTCCTTGGATTTCTTGGATTTCTTTCTCTTAACTTCTAGGAGATCTTTCTTTGTAGTTACAAGTTAACGAGGGACTATATTTTAATTCATCCCATGAAAATTGAAAGAATTAGCCATTTGAGTTATTATTTATAGTAATTTTTGAGTGGTTTTGAAAAAAACCGTGACGCTCTAGGATCAGTTCCATGAATTTACCACTTTTACGGATGTTCCGGATCTTCCAGTGAACTATCCCGTAGTCTCCAGAGTTCATATTCCAAACACAACCCAGAATTCATTTTGATAAGATGTCAATGAGTGGTTTCGAAAAAACCGCGTAGCTCTATGATCAGTTTCATTAATTGAGCACTTTTATGGATGTTCCGGATCTTTCAGTGGACCATCCCGTGATCCCCAGTATCAATTTTCTGGTCAAAACTCCGAATTTATTGTGATAAGACGTCTATGAGTGGTTTCGAAAAAACCGCGGAGATCTAGGATCAGTTTCATGAATTGACCATTTTTTACCGATGTTCCGGATCTTCCGGTGAACCAACCCTGTAGTCTCCAGAGTTCATATTCCAAACACAATGTCTGTGAGTGCTTTCTAAAAAACCGCGTAGCTCTAGGATCAGTTTCATGAATTGACCACTTTTACGGATGTTCTGGATCTATAAGTGGACCATCCCATGGTCCCCAGCTTCCATTGTCTGGTCAAAACTCCGAATTTGTTGTGATAAGACGTCTTTGAGTGGTTTTGAAAAAAACGTGGATTTCTAGGATCAATTTGATGAATTGACCACTTTACGGATGTTCCGGATCTTCTACTGGACTGTCCTGTAGTCTCCAGAGTCCATAAACCGAAAACATCTGCAAATTAATTCTGATAAGATATCTATGAGTGGTTTTGAAAAAACCGCGGAGCTCTAGGATCAGTTTCATGAATTGACCACTTTTACGGATGTTCTGGATCTATAAGTGGACCATCCCATGGTCCCCAGCTTCCATTGTCTGGTCAAAACTCCGAATTTGTTGTGATAAGACGTCTTTGAGTGGTTTTGAAAAAAACGTGGATTTCTAGGATCAATTTGATGAATTGACCACTTTACGGATGTTCCGGATCTTCTACTGGACTGTCCTGTAGTCTCCAGAGTCCATAAACCGAAAACATCTGCAAATTAATTCTGATAAGATATCTATGAGTGGTTTTGAAAAAACCGCGGAGCTCTAGGATCAGTTTCATGAATTGACCACTTTTATGGATGTTCCGGATCTTGCGGAGGACCGTTCCGTGTTCCCCAGTTTAAATTTTCTGGTCAAAACATCGATTTTATTGTGATAAGACATCTATGAGTGCTTTCTCATAAACCGTGGAGCTTTAGGATGAATTTGATAAATTGACCACTTTACGGATGTTCCGGATCTTCTAGTAAACCGTTCTCTAGTCTCCAAAGTCCTTATTCCATACACAACTCCGAATTCATTCTGATAAGATGTCTTTGAGTAGTTTCGAAAAAAAAAAACCACGGAGCTCTAGGATCAGTTTCATGAATTGACCACTTTTACGGATGTTCTGGATCTATAAGTGGACCATACCGTGGTCCCCAGCTTCCATTGTCTGGTCAAAGCTCCGAATTTGTTGTGATAAGACGTCTTTGAGTGGTTTTGAAAAAAAAAAACCGTGGAGCTCTAGGATCAATTTGATGAATTGATCACTTTACGAATGTTCCGGATTTGTAGTCTCCAGAGTCCATAATCCGAAAACAACTTCAAATTAATTCTGATAAGATGTCTATGAGCGGTTTTGAAAAAACCGCGGAGCTCTACGATCAGTTTCATGAATTGACCACTTTTACGGATGTTCCGGATCTTGCGGAGGTGCATTCCGTGGTCCCCAGTTTAAATTTTCTGGTCAAAACATCGATTTTATTGTGATAAGACTTCTATGAGTGGTTTCGAAAAAATCGCGGAGCTTTCGAATCAGTTTCATGAATTGACCACTTTTACGGATGTTCCGGAGCTTTTAGTGGACCATCCCGTGGTCCCCAGCATGAATTTGCTGGTCATTCTTTCGAGTTTATTGTGATAAGACGTCTATGAGTGGCTTCTAAAAAAACCGCGTTGCTCTAGGATCAGTTTCATGAATTGGCCACTTTTACGGATGTTTCGGATCTTCCACAGGACCAGACTTGTGTCCTACCGGAAACTGACTGTTCCCAAAAGTTGGCCAACTATCTGCTTAACAACTTCTCCAAAGACGTCATGAAGTTATCTCTTCAAATTTCCGAATCCAGTGGCATCAGTACTATAGGAATCCGGCAAGAACGAATCCACACTAAAGAAATCTTGACTCTATTTTTCTACTAGTGAATGATCCACCAGTCATCTGGATTCATAAACATAAAGGTTGAACACGAAAAAATCTGGACACGAAAATCTTGTTGGGGTTTTAAAATGCGTTTTATATACAGCTATACATTGTAAGGTATTATCGAAGACAATATATCAAGAAGACTGGCAACTTTGCCCGAGAATAGAACCTTTGCTATCCAATTCGTTCGAAGCATTTACCTTTGAGCGGCAGATGACGCGATTCTGCCTGTCTCATACCGGACGTATGAGAAAATGGAAGAGTTACCAGTCTTCTTGATATGTTGTCTTCGGTATTATGCTTGTTGTTAGAACATTATTTCAGTCTTCCATCTTACCATAGGTCATTGCTCGAACTGTTCTTCGTACACGGTTCATCATCTTTTGCACGAGTCCTGTTCCCAATTTTTTGGTTTCCAAATTCCATTTCCGCTTGAAATCCTTCTGAAATCC